TGTGTGTGTGTGTGTGTGTGCGCGCTATATGGCTGCACTCTTATGGCTGTGCACACACACTTGTGCTGTGAATGTGTGAGGAGGGCATGAGGGCCGTCAATCCAGGCGGTCTCATGAGCCATGGAGGGCTCGGAATGAAAGTGGAAATGGTGACGACCCCAGAGGGTTGTAGGAAACAGACCTCCGAGAAAAGCAGCGATTCCTCAGCCTTTATTGCGAATCTGCCGACACCTATGTCTCTGTGTTTTTTCACCAGGGAGACTGTGAGCCTTCACACCTCTTACAGCACCGTGTTCCCGTTTTAATACCAGAGGTTTTATGTCTTATCAGCTCATATGGAAACGCTGAATGATTGAAAGGTTCAAGAATAGACCATTGAATATCTGATGCCATTCTGCAATTGTGCTCAGGAATAGAGCTCGTTCATTATATACCATTACAGCCGGCTTCATGTCTCTGTGTAATACAGGTTGAATAGGTAATTGTGACGTAAACCGGCTGAATGTATCCCTTGAAAAAGACTAAAGTCAAGCCCAAGCTTCTCCCTCTCTGCTTGCTGTTTTATCAGCACTGACTGAATTAAAGCTTTGTTTTACTGCCATCTGCCATAATCTTACAAATTCAGAGATCTATAGGCAGCGGATTTTACACGACAACGATGGGGAGCTGTCTTCTTCCAATCAAGGGCCTGTTCAGTTTTATTAATCCTCCGAGGGCCGTATCAATTATTGAACTCATATATCACGTTAACCTCTAATGCAATGGCTGGGACTGCTTCTATTTAGCCAAGTGTCTTATGTCAGTTGGTAGTGATGACGCTGCTCTGCAGAACTCCCTCACAGAAAGATTTGGCTGTTTGGTGGAAACTGGAAATTCTGTGTTTGTTTTCCTCTCTGTCTTGTGCCAGACAAACTGACAGAAACAACAAGGCTCTTTCTCAAACTCTCCCTGTGAACGAGGTTTCTGTTTCCTAGCTAATAGTCTGCTCACCACAAAAGTCGCCTGCGTAACGTTCTCTCTGACAGAATGCCGTCTTGTGAAAGCTGCTTATCGGGCGCCAAAGAACGTTAACGTACGTTTATTTGCATTTAAGCTGCAATTATTCAACTTTCATGAGTTGAACCACATTTTGTTGATCTCTCTTGTAAAGATCTCAGATCTGCTATTCTTATCTCGGCAGTAGCAATAATGCTTGTGATGGCATCTCGTGACCAGAAGGGGGCATCTTGAAGAAAATGTTACGCTACAATTCTTTCTTTTATCGTAGATCTGCAAATCTTAAAGCTCCCGTTTTTTTTAATCTTTCTGAATCGTCTCACAGATTGGATCATTTCCAGCCCAGACCTCCTCTGTCTTCTCTCCCTGTTATATGGGAGGATGTGTGATTCTTTTTTTCTCATAGCTTTTAAAAGTGATCTCCGTCCACCATGACTGCATCTGCCACCGGAGCACCATCCAATAAAAAAACATTCTACACCAGCTTAAGTTCCTCAATTCAATTTTGTTGAGTGACTGAACAAGTCAAGGGACGCCCGTCGCTCCTTGTCTTGATTAAAACACCTCGGAAACCTTCACAAGGTCAGAATCTCGGAATCTGCACCTTTTCATTTCATTCCCACTTCTACATGTTGCGAGCAGCGATTCATTTGGAAAGATTATTGAAACGAGCCGTTAGTAAAAGCTGTGATGTTGGATGGTAATGATGGATTGATTAAATGATTCAGAAATAATAAGCGTGGGCAATAAATTAGCACCACTCATCAGGGTAAAGTTAAAACACTGCAACAATAGAAAGCTAACAAGCGCCGTCTCAGCGTGCAGCCGGCCGACAGCCACGCTGACAAAGAACACAAATAACCTTCGGGAAAGGCAGTGTTTAAAAAGGCCTGGTTGTCAATCTGCATCACCCTCACACCAAAGCAAAGCCCGCTGTTAGTTTTATGAAGAGAAAGCAATTTGTGCTGGAACGCCCGTCGGGCTGCAGCTTCACAATCAGCTGCTGATTTTACCCAGAAACACCAAAAAGCAGGAAGTGATCTGTAAAAATCAGCTGAAGCTGTGATTGATTGGCAGGAAAACCTGCCGCCCCTCGACCCGACATGGCACAAGGTTTGACGTGGTTCCTTTGTAACATCAATATCGTGAGGCTGCTCTCCCAGTCAGTAATAATACCATTAACCCAGTGAATTGAGAACGATCAGCTGTGCAGGGACATGGAATCGTGGGTAATTTTACAGGCGTGCTCTCCTAACCTCCAATTACAGAGAGTAATCAGCTCAGGGCAAACATTCAAATGACAAGCAAACAGGGTTTATGTACAGATTTCTGTTGTTGGTCAGCGAGTGCAGAGACGTGAAAGGTTTCTGAGAACAGACTTGTTTTGTTGATGAAGTGGCAGCTGTCAGAGCAAACTGCTGAATCCAAACGTTTCAGAGACTCTGGTGTTTATGTTTCAGGGTTGTTTCTTTTGATTAGTAGTATAATTGAGAGACAGACAGACCGTGCCCCGACTGACAACCAAGACATTTTCAAATTAAAATAATTTTTCTGTAAATGGTTTTTTTTGGGGAAACAAGAATGAAGAAATGTATTTTTCATATATTTCCTGCTCGGTGCGTGTTTTTAAAGGGTCTTCCTGTTACTGTGAGTCGTTGTTCACTTCTTGGAGCCAATTAGGTCACGTGACACAAGGTGAAGTGAGACAATGCTCTTTTCTGATCCCTCTGCTTCAGGAAGCCAGCGAGGTTCTCAAGATATCTTAAAGGAGACATGTTGTGCTCGTGTTCAGGCTCCTGATTTGAATTATCGTCCATTTCTTTATTATTTGTCCGTCGCTGCAGCTCCTCTCTTCAGCCTCTGTCTGCTCTGATTGGCGAGCTAAGTTATTTCCTTTCAATGGAGGCAAAAAAAGAATAAAAGGGCCAAAAATATCCCAGACGGGAGGACACATTGCAGATGATGGATGTTGCCATAGCAATGAAAACACTTCCGGTTTGACGCGAGGTTTCCTCACGGGTTGTCTCGTGTTTTCTGTCGGGGAGACTTTAAGACCTTCGACAGCTCCTCCACGTTGATCACGGTGATGTCATGCACAGTGCATGGGAACATGTGACCCGATGAATCAAAGCAATAAATCTCATCATATCTCATTTCAGCAGTTTTTCTTGCTTTGATCAGAACAACACACGTGTGTGTGTGTGTGTGTGCGCTCGGCTTTAACAGGGCTCGGATTTAATTATCAGAAGTGCAGGTACGCGTCCTGACTTTTTCTGCGATGACATGACACCACCATTATTCCACCCAATCCAGAGTTAATGGAAAACACATCAATCAATATGACGCGGGGCTGTTCCACACAGTCCTGGTCCTGAGTGGTGATCACCTGCCCAGAGGAATCCCTGGGCTGCCTCAAAGAGACAATTTGGCTATTGAGACAAACATCCCAATTAGGAGCCGTATTCGCCCGCTGCCATCATCTGCCTCGGTACGATTGTTTGTGACACTCATCTGGAGTGTGTGTGTTTTTCAAATTTTTTTAAACTGCATCTGGAAGAGGTGCCAGGTTTGCTCCACCATGTTGAATCATTAGATGTGTCAGGCCAGTTTATCGGTGACTCTGATGAGCGGCGCGGTGGTGACGGCCTGTCGGTAATCTGGCTGACAGAGCAGTGATGGATCGTTGCAGCCACACTCTCACCACCTAGACATCCTGTAAATGACTTTATTGGAGGGTTGAAGTGACTCGTGATGGCTGCCGTCGTGGTCAGCGAGCTGATTTCTGGTCGGTTCCCAGCTTTTCTTTTGTTTTCGTGTCTTGAGCCGTGACTGCGCGTTGCGTTTCGACGATGCACGGCTGCTGTGTGGATGTGAATAATTTCTTTCTTCTTCTTCTTCTCCTCCTCCCCGCTTGTCACATTTGCATCTGCTTGTTTGCTGCTTCCTGCTATTTCGGTGCCATTTTCCTTTACTTTATCTTGACCCCGTCGCTATTGTTTTTTTCCATTTCCCTGACTCGAGCTTCTCCAGTTCTCCTCACATTTGCATTGACCTTTTTGTCGCTCCTCGCTACTTCTGTGTCATTTCCCTTCTCTTTATCTGCTGTCTCCCTCCGTTGCTTATTTGTTTCTCGCTTCTCCTCACCCATCCGTCTCCCTCGCTCTTATCTCTTCCATTTTCTCCTCCGTGTCTGTCTCTCGCCCCGTTTTCCCCTCTATCTCGTCGACCTCAATTCATTTCTCTTCCTTATTATTGATCCTCCCATCCATCTGTTCATCTGCCTGCCCATTAATCATTCTCTCATTTTGTCCCTGCAGTGTGACCCAGGGGAAGCGACCAAGTTGCTGTATGACCTTCTGTACACCGAGCCCATCAAGATAGTCCTGATGCCCGGCTGCAGCGGCGTCTCCACGCTGGTCGCTGAAGCTGCTCGCATGTGGAACCTCATCGTGGTGGGTGTATTTTACTGTTTATACCAAAGTGCACGCCTTCAGGACACGCTTCAGCCTCCAGTCATTTTCAACCAGAGGTTTTTTTTGGTTTTTTTTATCAGTGAAGTGGAGGCTCGGCAGTAGAGACGTGAGGCGTGAGCTGCAATCTGCGTCAAAATTTGTTCTCTCTCATAACTCAATCCTGAGACATGGTACACTTATTTTTAGATTCAGTGCGACTTACACCTCTGTAATAAATCAATTTCTCTGATGTCCATCAAAAATAAGTCGGCCCAGGTTGCACTATTCTACCCCAAAAAAAAAAAACTGGTGCTTTACTCTGAGTGAAATATATTCGCATGCAGGGAAAATAGATAGTCTTGTATTTATAGGTTGAGATTTTGAGATGCATTATCCGACTCTGACACAACTCTGAACTGGTGGAGCTGAAGGAAATATAATCAATGGGATTCCTCGCATTGAGAAATGACATTTAACCATTCAACATAAACCTCCCTTTCACAGTGTCCCTGCTGCCCACACAGAACTCACTGCTGTGGGGCCGTTTCTCCGCTAGGAAAATTGTTTCAATTACTTTAATTTACAGCGAGGTCTCTGGATTCACCTCCGCTGTATTTCGGCTGGGTCATAAATCTCTGAGATAAATATTTCAACACCTGAAACTCGTAAAAAACAGAACCATCTGCATTGCTACACGCCGTTAGGGCTAAATGAGTCGTCAGAGCAGCACAGGACACGAGAGGAAACAGGAGCAGACGAGCTGAGGGCACATCTGGGTGTTGACTGGGTGACAAATTTAACAATCGTGGAGCGACACGACACGACACACGACACAGGACCGGTTCTTCTACAAGTTAAATCCACGAGCGATGAAACGCAGCCGGGCCTAATTCAGAACACTCACAGGGTTTTTGTTGCTGCAGGCCGGTTTGACTCGTAGCTCGAGGTGGACGGTCTGATGTAGAACACGTTCCAGTGAATGTTTGAATTTAGACTTGTGCTGTTTTACGTTCAAGATGAACTCATCAGTGCCTCTTTTAGCTACAGCAGCTAAAATACATGCAATTCTCCTGCTCAAACAAATATATTAATAGTTGCTAGAGAAACCGTTCTGCTGTAAAAGCAGAAGGGTCATCAGATAACAGCCGTGTCCCAATTCAGGAGCTCTTGGACCAAGTAGATGAGACTAGACAGTCTGGTCTTAGGAGGACGTCCTGTCGCATCGCTAGTTTGAGTGGACTGCCCTCACTGCACCTCAGCCCCCCCGCACAGCTGGATTTTTATCTTTGTCACGGCGTAAAAATAAATGCTCTTCTCTCCTGTCATGTGGAAATTAAAAGCCACAGCAGAGAGCATCTTTTTTTTTGTTTTTTTTGTTAACAAAGTGCCTGATTTTAGAGAGAAATGAAAAGGGTAAATTAAGCATCTCTTTTTCCTAATTAGTTTTCACTTAACTGTCTCAACCAATTTTCTGACTCACTTTTCACTGTCTATCCTCCCTCCTCCCCTCTCTCCCCCCCTGGTGTGTGTATGTCACACTCCGGCTGAAACGCTCGTCTGAACTCACGGGTTTGATTGGCTCGTTGAACCGGTGCCATGAGGGCTAGAGAAGCTAGTCCAATATAGTCGGACCGCAGTCCAACTGTCAGTGACTTTAGCCCAAGGTTAAACATTTTAGGACTTCTGTTCAAACTGACGGAGTAAAAGCACCGGTTCTCTCCCAGCTCAGTCTGCTGGGAGAGAACCGGACCTCCGCAACGTTCAGTGTGAAACGTGCAATGATGTTTACATTCATCTAAGTGAGGCTCTTTGCTCTTTATCCTAATTACACTAAGTTCCCGAAATCAATGCTGTACAGTTATTCATTGATTTTAAGATAATTTATTAAGCCCCTGTAATTAGCGATCGGACTGACGGGGCAGTTTGCATCGACGGCTTCGACATCGCTGAGGAGAAAATACACCGTCAGACACGCCGCCTGATAATACGTGTGAACACACGCCAGGTCTGTCAGCAGGAGAACTGATGCTCAAATCTGCTGCAGATATTTTGTTGCAGATATGTTTTTATGTCTTCATCAGTTTGTGTTGTTTATCTCCATCAGCGTCTTGATCCGCCTCGTTGTCACTCACAGCGCTCTGCTTATTAGCTTTGTCCTATAATTGAAGTTTCATCCAGAGATTAGTCATGGAGAACAATCAGCTGTAGTGGTTGGCACCTGCCCCTCTTTCCCATTTCTCTTTGTCACTCATTCTTTCCCCATCATTAAAAACTCTCTTCCACTTCTTGACTCTGCCTTCCTCTCTCCTCTCTCCTCTCTCCTCTCTGTTGTCTCTGCCTGGAGCTGGTCTGCTCTATTTCAGCCCCTTTTTCTTCCTTCCTTCCTTCTTTCCATCTCTTCTGTCTTTTCTCACCCACTCCTCATTTCCGCCTTGCTCCTTCAACTCGAGCAGTCGATTCTCCCTGTGCACACACAAAGGGATCTGTCTCTCTTTACTACACGCCACCACTGGCACAACCTCCTAACCGCCACAGTCAATTATTTCTGTATGCGTTCTGCCTTCAGGAGCCTCCTCGCATGTCAAGCAGCCTCATCACAGCGCCGGGGAGGCAGAAGCAACCTCCATTTCTGGACGCTGATCAAGGAGGGGCTCTTAATTTAATCCCCCATCTCCTTTTGTAAAAGCAATGTTAGGCACAGTCCTGCATTGATCCGCTACTACAAGGACATGGGAGAACTGAGGAACTGACAATGCGGAGATATTGTTTTTGGGGAAGCTCTGATGTCTGTTGCAGGCTGCTGCTGCGTCGGTCTATTTCTGCCACAGCAGCTGTTTGCTCCATCTCAGTTTTGTCACTGTTTTCGTGTGTCTGTTTATTTCCGTGTCGCTTGCGAGTCTACGTTTGGTCAAGACCTGGTGCAACAGAAAGTCAAGCAATACAGTCAAACAGTAAAACAAATGTCTCACTGTGGTGTCTTGCCATTTTAGTTTTTCTCTTGGTTTCGTTTGCCCTGTGTCCATGAAGTTACTGCTAACTGTAGGACGGACGGGTAGGGTGTGTCTGTGTACTTAAACATAATTAGATATTTATGTGTACATAAGAAAATGTCTTGTATACAGTCTGTTGGTGGATGCTAGTTAAAAGGCTGCACACAGATGATTGTACTGGTGCCACCGTCTTGTGCGTTTGCTGGAATGTAGAATCAGGGTCTAAGCGAAACATGCGCTCGATCAATCGTGTGTCTCAGTTACGACGTTTCGCCTCATTCTTAAAGCATCGAATAACTAATTAAAGCCAAACATGCTGGAAAAACAAATATCCATGTGATAAGAACAACCTGAAATGACAGAAACCATGGAGACTACTGTCAATTTATATTTTGGCCCATGTCCCATCCACCAACACGGAGGAGTCAGGGTCTGTGACCTATGCTTCAGCCAGCCTCCAGGGGGCGACGGAGAAGTCAGTTTGAAAAGCGTGAAGTGGTTGTCACTCGTATCGTTCACGTTCCCCGGAGCTTTCAGTGGCACGCCGGGATCAGCTGTCACTTCCTGTATGGTTTCCGCTCCTTCCTGCTGATGCCTCCTCCGTCAACCTGCCTGCATTGTTACTGTGGATCCACAATGCACTTTGTTTATGACATTTGACATCTATCATCACCCCCCCCCCCGCTCTGAGATGAGAGCCGGGGGCGGACGATGGGCTGTATCTGTCTGTAATGGTTCCCTAAACACCAGCTTTCTGTTTTTAAAGGAGACCTGTCGAGGATTTTATTTCCAGGCGTCACCGTGAAACTAATTGTTGGAGGAACACGTTGTGCCTGCTTCTATCGGCATTCCCCACCATCCCCCGTCACCGCAGCTCCGGACACACACATCTTATCAGCTGCTCCGCCACAGGTGTTTTTTGTGGGAACGGCGCCCGACAATTCAGATTATATAAACTTCCAAATTAAATAAACAGACCACCGTGCCAACTATCGCAATAACAATAATTAGTTTTTTTTTTTCTCTCATTTGTTTTGTTTGCCAAGGAAATCCTGCCGGTAGTGTTTTAGTTCTTCTCATTGAAATTATGGAGTTTAGCAACACACCTCATAAGCGGGAGGGAAAGGAGGGAGGGAAAGGAGGGAGGAAGTGGGTGTGGATGAAAACGAGATCAGGGATTGTCTCTTTGGTTCTCCATCTTTTTTTTCTGCCGTTTCTTTCTCTCGTTTGCTGTTTGAACCAATTGGCATCAAAGAAGTCTGTGCACCGAGGAGGAACAAGAGAGTCCTGGATTTGAATTCGTGTGATTGAAGCGTGTTTACTACTGATGTCTGGAAGGACCTTCACAAGTAGACTTCTCTCTTTGTTCCTTCCGACCCGCCCTTTCTGCTGGTAACTCTTCTTCTTCTCCTTGTTTCTCAGCTGTCCTACGGCTCCAGCTCGCCGGCCTTATCCAACCGTCAGCGTTTCCCCACCTTCTTCCGCACCCACCCCTCGGCCACGCTCCACAACCCCACCAGGGTGCGGCTCTTCCAGAAGTGGAAGTGGACTCGCATCGCCACCATCCAGCAGACCACCGAAGTGTTCACCTCAGTCAGTAAACTTTAATATCCTTTATTTCAACTCAACACTGTTTTCTTTCCTCCTCTCACTTCTCTCTCTCTCTCTCTTGCTTTTAAAAGAAACAACCTGTGCAGCGTACTGTGTCGCGGTTGCAGCTTTCTGTGTGAAGCTGCAGAAGTGACCTGCAGCAGAGAGCTGCTCCTGTTTATCCAAAGTTCAGTGAAGCTCGACGATACACAGAACCCTGATCTGGAGAATTAGGTTTTTTTCCCCCTCCCCTTTATTTAAAAGCTTGGTCTTTCATTTTGAGAGTGGGTAGAGCACAAGCAGGGACTCTCTGAGTGCGAGCGCAGGGTGAAAGCATCGTAAAAGCTTTGCATTGAATCAATAAGTCCTGCTCTCTGTCAGCTGTTGTTGCCATTATCATGAATGTCGTCGTGATCTACAACGTCACTTACATTGATGAGTCCCAGACGACGACCGAGCGTGAAGACGAACTGTTCTCCAGATTTCTGGAGATTATTAGATGTAGTAGTTCAGTGCTCCTTTGCTGTAGCTTTCTTCCTGGAACTGTAAAAGCGACCTGCAGTAGTTGAGCATCTGCAGTCTGCAGAACCACGAGGCTGCACAAAGAGCTCTTCACCTGTTTATTCAAAGTTCAGTGAAGCTCCACTCTGAGGAATCGGTCGTCGTTGCCGTTGTTTATTCAAAGTTTGCACTTGACCAGTCTGAAGCCGATGAGATGAACGGTCCTCGGGATATGTGGAGAAGCCACAGACGGAGATTCCTGGGTTTATTAGGATATCAATCACTTTCTCTGAATGTCCCCTCAGTTCTGGGGAAGTTTACCGGCCTCCTCGTGTTTGTTTACAGGAGCAGCTGTGTTCTCAGGCCTTGCGGCACAGCCTCAGACAATCTCTGCTGGCGACTGATGGGGGATTTTTCTCTTAAGTAATTTGTTGGAATATTGGTTGTGAGAAATATTGATCAAGCCATACATCTCTCCCAGGCCCGGCGGTCGATACCATGACACTTGGGTTGGTTCCTGTAATGGAGGTTAATGATCCCACTCTCACATTCTTCTTTTTCTTCTCTCCAGTCGTGTACTTTGTTTAAAAATCTATCCCCCCTCCCATGGAGCATTTCTTGTTTGTCATACATCCCCACATTGTCCGGCCTCCTCTTGACATTTCTCATATACACTTCAGATTTTTCATTCGACCCCCCCCCCCCAGACTTTGTTGCTTTTCTTTGGTGTTTTTCTATAATCTCAAGCTGCCACTTCTCGCTCTCTATCTCTCTCTGTTCAGCCGCCTCTCTAACCACCTCTCTCCCCCTCCCTCCCTCCCTCCCTCTCTCCCTGTCTGTCTCGCTCCGTCCTTCCTTTTCATCTCACAGACGCTGGACGATCTTGAGGAGAGGACGAAGGAGGCCGGCATCGAGATCAGCGTTCGCCAGAGTTTCCTCACCGACCCGGCTGTCGCTGTCAAGAACCTCAAGGTGCTTTGATTAAAAATTCACCTCAGCTGCTGGTCGTCTCCCCCTCCCCCTCCCCCTCCCCCACACACCTCACAGCTGCACACGATACCATTAGCAGAGAGGTGATTTGGTAGAGGAAATGAATGCGCCATGCTAATTAGCAACTCCTGAACAGCGGTACGTGGCGTCCTGTGAAGCAGCAGGAACTTTGGAACGCCGCTCTGCCACATCAAACCGTTTTATTGTCTCTGCTGATGAACCTGAGCAATGTTTTGCTTTGTTTTCATATTTTGATGCAGCGCCAGGATGCCAGGATCATTGTGGGGCTCTTTTATGAGACCGAAGCCAGAAAGGTGTTTTGTGAGGTTAGTACTTTTTTTTCGGCAGACTGAACCTAACTGGGTATTAGCAGAAACTGAGCTCGGTAATAAGCTGTTTGAATGTCTGAATGAATTTCCTTGTTAGGCAGGGATGCAACACGCTCAACACATCTCTGGGAATTATTCTCCTCATGCTTATTTATCACCCCCCCCCCCTCCCTTCTGCCTCCCTCTCTCCCTCCCTGCTGAAGGTGTTCAAGGAGAAGCTCTACGGGAAGAAGTACGTCTGGTTCCTGATTGGCTGGTACGCAGACAACTGGTTCAAGATCAAAGACCCGGCTATCAACTGCACAGTGGAGAACATGACGGAGGCCGTGGAGGGTCACGTGACCACGGAGATCGTCATGTTGAACCCAGAGACGGTCCGCGGCGTCTCCAACATGGTGGGAACACACAGAACACTGTCTCATCCTCAAATCCAAAACATTCGATTAAGAAGGAATTACGACTTGATCAGCATGAAACAACAACTGATGGTGTTTTAATTCACAAATAATTATTCACATTTATATTGTTGAGTAAAATTAGGGAAACTAGCCATAATTCAAAACTTCTTACAGCACTTAGGACCAAGGCAGGAGCTTAATGAGTTTTTAATGACATGAAGCAGAGCGCACTTGTCCTGCATCATGAGAGTAGCTAGAGAAATGGAGTTCAGAGTTTTATTTCCAAAAGTTCAAATACACAGGGACCTCACACATACTGTAAAAACAATAAGAAGATCAATGATAATTACTACTAATAATAATGAACAAAAATCAATATTTCAGAAAGCAGTTCAACATCTCAGTCTGCCCCATTAACTGATCATTATTGAATATTACTCAGCTACTCAAAAAGTAATTGGTTTGGACCAATTATCACCTGTACTTCATGTCTCCTGCAGCCAGAGGGTGTCAGGAGAAATGGGACTTAAGTGTGAATGTGATGCTAATTATGAACCAGAAAAAAAACTTCTAAACAAAGACGTCAATAAGTTTTACTGACGTCTCTGGTTCCACCACGACCTGGATACTTGAATGAAATATGTTGACAGCTATTGGATCCGTGTCATTGGGTATCTTCGTCATCATCTGGTGTAAATTTCAATTCTGGTTTAAAATGTTTTTAACCTTTGACATTGATTTCACCCCCAACTCTTCTTAATTGGTGAATATTAGCATACTACACCTGAACTATGGGCAACATGAACAATACGCTGCATGTTGGCATTGTGAGCATGCTAGCATGTTAGCCTGCATGCTATCTGATCGCTGCGAGCGTCTTCGATCAACAGGATGTTTCATGTGTTATTGAAGTATTTTGATGTTACGTTTAATTAATTCACAAACAATTAGATAAAAAACATAATTAACAATGTTGACCGAGAGCATCGTTATTATGAACATGCAGTGAACCTAATTGCACTGGTTTTTAATTACACCTTAAATGGAGCATATTTAAATTATTATTCATATCTTGTCGGCCACTTTCTTTCTTTGTTTCTTGATGTATGAGCTCAAAGCTGTTTGATGCACATGCTGTCATTTTCCAAAATGTCTTTGTCCTTCATTGGATTTTGATTTTAATTTGTATTTTTTTTCATTTGGAAAAGATTAATGACCTTGTGATTCATACTGGAAAGTGCCATGAACATTTTTTGGCCGTGGTAATTGTTTAGTGTAAGTGATATTGTTGAGCGTCCTTATTTTCATTTCACATCAGGGAGTAGATTTGCGTCTTTCCATTGACTTTGTAAGTAATTGTCCTGCGTCTAAAATCCACTTCACATTTTATCTGAATGTACATTAGTCATCTTTAAAAATCAATATAAACTCTGAGACATTGATTCATTTTTTTTCCACAAATGAAAACAAATGATAACGAGCCTTAAAATACCAAGACACTTTAAATCCTGCAATTTTTCAAATAATTAGATTTCTGTGTGTGTAGTGTCCGGTGATTGATTATCAGAGGGTGATATAGGAACTGTCCTGTTCTTCTGTCATTGATGTAAAATAAATTAATCCCCATGAGACGGCGTTTTCTCGCAGACGCTTGTTCAGTGACGTCATGTCTTCACTGAAGCGTTCGTCCTGAATCAACATCTTAGACGTCGGACAGAGGAGGTCGTTACACCTGCTTCTTAATTGGAGAACGGATTATTTGTTGAATTTATCAGCGCCAGGCTTTTTTTTTCCCTCTATGATTTGTGTGACCTTGGTTTATGCCTCTCAGGTAGCGGTCGTCACTCTCCTCTGTTCACCTTCTCTAATCCTCTTACACCGTCTCTCCCTCTCTCCCAGTGTTCGACCTTCTCTGACTCCGCTGTTCCATTGTGCATCATCCTCTCACCCTTCTTGTTTACTCACCCCCTCCCTCCTTCCCCCTTCTCCTTTGCCGTCTCCTCGTCCCCACCTTCTCCGCCACCCCCCCCTCCGTCGCCACCCCTCCGTCCCTCTGTCGCACTTCATCAGCAGCTGTTGTTTATATTCATGCAGCACCTGACACTACCTGCTGATTTAGCTGTTGACGTGCGGCTCAATAGGTGATAAGAATTACAGCCACAACTCCTGTTCGTGTCCCGTGCATTCAAATTCAATTTCAAAGTTTGAAATTGGCATTTTTCTCATAGATAGAGGAGTCGGATGAAGCTCGCGTGCCGATACCGCAGGTCGGCAGTCGACGTTGTCAGCTAGTTCTCAGGAAGTGGCAGATTTAAATGCCAAAGTGGAATTTCAATGAGATGAATGTGACATAGCTTAACCGGAGGTGTGTGTGTCTAATTGGTCTCGGAGAATCCACGGAGACGCCTTGATGATTTGCAGGAATAATCTCCCGTCATACATTCATCCCAGCTTTCAGTGCGACCTGATAATGTTTATTGGTGTTTAAATCGTTTCTAAACAGCTCGATTGTGCTTCTAATAAAATGTTGGAGTAAATAAATTCAGAGCGAGTCATGAAAAGCACGTTGATGTCATAATCCCACATTTTGTGATGATTTAATCTCTTGATTCTCAGAGGAGGCACTGTGCATGAATTATACTGGATTGTCAGTCAAAAGCAAGAAAATTAATTATAATCTTCATAAGAGCTGTCAGGTATTTGTCTTTGAATTGTAAACAGAGCACAGTGGTTTCACTACTTCACTAAACATATCTTAAAATAATAATGATTTGATATTGTGGGAGAGATACAGCCTCAATGCTCTTAGTGCCCCTCTGGTCAGGTCCACTGCTCCTCAGGCCGCCCTCTAGTCTGCTCTGGAGCTTCTTTCACCCGAGTGTCCATTTGGTTTTCCTAAATAATCTGGAGCTGATGTCGAGGCGCGTTCTTATTCTTCCTCCTGTTTATTCTAGACATCGCAGGAGTTTATCGCCGCCTTGATGTCTCGGCTCGGAGGGAAGAACCCGGAGGAGACCGGCGGGTTTCAAGAGGCTCCTCTGGCCTACGACGCAGTGTGGGCCCTGGCCCTCGCCCTCAATAAGACCGTCGCACCGCTGAAGGCCAAGGGTCGACGTCTGGAGGACTTCAATTACAACAACCACGACATCACCTCAGAGATCTACAGAGCCCTGAACACGAGCTCCTTCGAAGGTGTTTCGGTAAGGAGCGGAACACAGATGAGAAGCACAGGCAATAAAGACTGTTTGATAACTGATTATCAATTTAGTAAAGAAATACTCTTACAACAAATTAGCTAAAGTTAAAATAAATATATATAAAATAAAGAAATCGCCCCAAGCAATAAATAATTCTAACACAGATAAGACCTGTTGGCTATCAAACATTGTGCTGAAATGAATGAAGGCTCTTTTTTAATAAGATTTGTTTTAAGAAGTGATTTAAAAGAGTTTCTGCCTCTTGGGCAGTGAGTTCCAGAGCTGAGGGGCCCCGACTGCAGCCGGCAGAGTCCAGTCTGACTCATGTTTTAAAGGGAATCAGTCAAATCTTAAAATCAATTCTTTAAACTGACTGGTAACCAGAGAAGACGGGCGAGAACTCGGCTGATGTGATCTCGTCCTCTGGTATTTTACTGAAAGTCGAGCGGCTGCAGGAGGGATGTTGTTTTTTTAATCCAGTGAATCTGAAGGAGATGAAATCAAAGCACCATGACCTTCTCGAGATCAGGCGGAGACGGAAAACACACCGATCTTTGAAAAGCTGATAAAAACATGACTGCACAACATTAGTGGCTCGTTTGTCAAACGTAAGGTCAGCGTCAAACATCACACTCACATTTCTGCGCTGTTAAAAATCCTTTGTTATTGATGGTGATCTCACAGAGCCAGGCTAACGCTTCCCCTCTGCTTCCAGTCTTTGTGCTAAGCTAAACTAACTAGCTGCTGGCCGTATCTTCACATTGGGCGTTTAGTATAGTTTCATTTATCGTTTGAAACTTTTAGCAAATTTATATCAAACTTGTTGAAAAAAAATATTCCTTCAAGGAGCTCGTTGATTATTTGCAATAAAAAACGGACTTCCTCCCGTCTGCGTCTCAGGGCCAGGTGGTGTTTGACGCCCAGGGTTCCAGGATGGCCATGACGCTGATCGAACAACTGCAAGGTAACGTGCTCCCTCTCTGTCCGCCCCAATGTCGCTGCATCTGGAGAAAAAAAGAAAGAAACGATTGCTGACTGTATTCATCAGGTATTGATCGTTCCTCCCGGATCATTCACAGCAAAGCCTCTCTGCTGTGGCGGTGATGGGGGGTCGGGGATTGCGGCCTTTACTGTCATTGGTCCTGGTGCCGTTTAATTGCACGTGCGATTGGACTCCATGCAGCGATGTGTTGACTCAAGGCTTCGCTCTAATTGGGCACAAGCCTCCGTTTTAAGCTGTTTCTGGAAATGGCACCCTATTTGTCACCAGCGACTTAATGAGTTTCCCCGCGCAGGATAAGGTTGAGGATTATTCTCTGCGTCTGTTCTCTTTGGCTGCTCTAAAGGATGAGAATTCATAATCCGGCCCCTTTCCCCCTCGCGCTCCGTCTCATATTTCCTGTTGTGGTGTCGAGGTAAATTGACATCCACAATGAGACGACCTGCCTTGAATCCTTGAATCACTGTGGGACCTCATCAGTATTCCTGGTCTAGACTGTCACATAAGCTCCCTTTTTTTTTTCACTCCCCCTTTCTCCTTCTCCTCCCCTTGGTGCTTCTTTGTTTGTCCTTCTTCATGCACCTTTTCATCCCCCATTCATTTCATCTATTCATTGTGCCCTTTTTTTTTTTTCTGTACCCACACACTCCATTTATATGAAAGGACAGAGACTATAGAAAAATAGCTAAATAGTGTACGTGCGGACAAAACAACGGGGGGTGACATTAATTATACGAGCAGTTCTAATTAAAATGCTTCACTTCTCTCCTGTCTTTCTGTGTCTCTGTGTAGGAGGCAGTTACAAGAAGATCGGTTACTACGACAGCTCTCAGAAGAACCTCTCCTGGTTTGGAAACGACGTGTGGATAGGTGAGAGTTCACGACACCGTCCTCGTCCCGCGTTTGTGTTTGTGTCCTGTCTCTTCGTGGCCGTGACTCAACAGCATCCCGTCCTCCTGCGTTGACACTCGACCTCCTCTGCGCGGCTTAATTTAGCCTTTCTCGCTGTCTAAATGATATGTAATCATGCTGGATTTTCTCTAACCCCTACTTTGGGGTGAAGCTTGTTATTTGGATGCTGATGCTCGTCCCCAAAAAAAAAAAAACGACCTCACGGTCCAACTTGTTGGCAGAGAAAATGCTCAGTAATCAAACTGGTGCAGCAGCTAAGTTTGACTGGCTAACTCGGGGGTTTTAAAAGCCTTCCCCTCCTCGCTCAGTTCAAACGTTTCATTCTCAGTCTCTGGAATATGACGAGCATCTTTTATGTTTTGGCTGATTTCTAAACAGACGCTCATTTATAGAGTATGTGTCTTTGTAAAGAAACTCTACATGTGATTTATCTGCGTTGAGGTTTGACTGTGGAATGACTCTGAGGAGTTTAAAGCGAATCGCTGTGCTTGTCCTCTGACGGACGCTCAGGGATTCAATGAACCCTCACGACCTCTGTGAGCTTTACGTCACAGCCTGGTGCTGCAGAGCCAACAGCTGATCATGTCAGTCTCATTATAACAAACCTGTCTTCAGACATGAACTCTGGAAAACGTCTGAACAACAGAGTCTTTGTCCGGAGTTCCTCTTTCACGTATGAAGAACGCAGCAGGAGGTTCTCGTTCTGATGCGTGTTCACGACATGTTCCGGACTGTCAGGGAAGGGGTGGAGCCTGGGGAGAGCAGCAGGACGTGACGTATAAATGCAGAAATCACGTTTTTCTGTTTACAGCGTTTAGATTTATATCTAGATAAAGATTTAGATCTACGTCTTTGAAAGTTGACATCTTCGTCAGCGTCTTCTACGTGTAAATCAACACTTTCATCCTGGATAAAGAAATATATTTGTATTCTTTAAGTTTTTGTCAGTTTTGCGACGTGTACTTGTTCATGGTCAATTATCCTCCAGATCATCTCCTGGTGTTCTCACACTGACCCTGCCTGTAGCTCTACTATGTGTAAGTCAGGAGAAAATCCAGAGAATGTCCGCAGCGGCCGGCTCGGACATTTGTGTTCTCTCATCCAGCGGCTGAAGATGATCTCCTGTAATCATCTGTCTTCAGTGCATCTTAACGTTCTGTTGTTTTCACCGACTTCCTCACAAATCTCCATCCAGTTCTTCTCAAAGTGGAAACTACGAGTTAACCCAACCATCGAGCTCTCGGGACTCAAACCAGAGCCAACGCTCCTGCTGCCCATGCTCTCGTTGTCCCATGAAAACCTATTACTGTTGATTTGCCTCAGACACGCAGACCAATGCTGTGGTTGTTTACTGGCCCATCCGTCCCCGGAGAGGTGACATACTTGTGCCCGGACAGCGTGTGCCACTAATCAATCCTGCATGCCGCGCTGGTCTGCAGGGAGCCGCCTTTTTTTAGGCTTTTAAGGAAATGATCTGTTGCTGAGGCTTAACTGAACCCAGAGGAGGAGGAGATTCCAGGTCAGGTGGACGGGCAAGACACGGAGCCGACCTGTTTCCACGTAGGCGGAATGTCGCCAGGTCGACTGCAGGATATTTAGTTCGGCTCGTTGCGCGGTGACGGGCTTTGGTGTTCGACTGTTTGAATCCTGCTGAGTTGAGACTGACTTGATCTTCAAAATGTCAGAGGTGAGATGTCTTTTCTCCACTGTACCAAACAAAGACACATCCCTCTGACTTCTGCTTGTCGGGAGGAAATGAGTAATTTCCTGCTCTCTGCAGCTGACTCAGTTCAGGGACTTTTTTTTTTTTTTTTTTAATGCAGGGTGGGGGGTGCACTTGATCTGCTCCACGCTGATACAGGAGTGGGGGTGGGTGGGTGATGTTTATGTGTATTCGGGGGTTTTCAACTTAACCCCCCACTTGTTTGCCGGTGTGTTTACCAGGCGCCTCCCTGCCTCACTTTCTCACTCCGTTCACGGTCGCTCTAACAACCACTTCAGCTCAGCTCTTCTTCTAATCGCTGTGGCAACTGTTATAGAGCCGGGTCTCCATGGCAACACCCTGTCCTGATTCCTGTATCAAGGACGGAGGAGGGTGTAAACGGAGCGAAATGCATTGACTGAATGGACAGTTGACAAACGCTCGCACGTACAATCTGCACATTGAAACAGTCACATGCACGTTCATCAAACACAGTCATTATGCATCATGTGGCTGGAACATGAATACATGTAAATGTACATACAACCCAGCTCGCAGTGCTGCACATTAACTTGTACGCAGCGGTTTTTAAATGGATTAACAAATGTATTAAACGGTGGCAAACAAAACAACTGAAATGTAATAATGAGAACGAGACGCACAGAAAGAATAACGGACAAGATATCGTATGGAACATCTTGTCTGTCAACATTTCTCAGCCTCACAATGGACATTTTGACAAAAGACTCTGAATCGGTGCAGCAGAAGCAAAGATCTCATCCTCTTTTATTTATTCCATGCGTTCGTCTTTGTGCTGCTCCGACGCTGCCAGTCGAGTCTCACACTGTGGGTGTGTTGTGCTAGTAGCAGCTAATGTAGCCTGCAGCCTCTCGCCTCGAGCAGACATGAGGAGTGGGCTACCGAGGTCGGATATAAGCTCCCTGCTGTGGAACTCCAACACCCCCACATTTTATCATTATTACTGTGATTATTCCACTTTCTTTTATTGTTCATTATTTTGTTTAACTTGTTCTTCAGGTTATGGCAGTGGTTACACTCACACATACATAAACTACTTTTAAAACACGCGTGTGTGGGTCACTGCACATTTGCACCACACCATATGTTCCGTGTGCTTCTCTGACCATTTGCTTTCATGTCGTTCATAAAGCACATGTAACGCAGGTGGAGCATCGAATATAAAGATGGCTGACGTGGTTATAGTTCTTCTCGTTGCACAAAAGTGAAACTAGATGATTTGGCTTCACTTTAAGGGAGTTGTTAAATCGTCTATGAGTTGGACATCAATCTGTTTTATTACTCACAAAAAGCCAATTAAATATTTTTAATCTGCAGACAGCGATGTTAGTCATAAAAAGTTTTTAGACGATGAGTGCCGCCTGTCTGGGCCCCGTTGAATTCATTATATCTCGAAGACAGAAGTAACATTTAAGTTTAAATTAAAATTTCCAAAAAGTGGTATAATCTTCGTCCCTGCGTGTTTTTCCATCACATGTGAACTTGGTGAAACCCGCAGACAACCACTTACATCGTCGCTCCTCAGTCAGATGACGCCAGATACAATGTCGGCCACGTGACGCCGGTGACAAGAATCCAAACAGAGCATGATGGGCGTCTTGACACCCCGCGCCTCTCGAGGGGGCGACACTGACACTTTCCACTGACATCTGACACATCAGCTTCACGCAGCGCTGACACTCGTGCTCTGCTTCCTCTCTGACATGCACACACTCGCTGTCTGCTTCCATCTCCCTCTCTCACTCTCTCTCGCTCGCAAACGTACACACACACACACACAAAAATACATGTGCACGTAAATGCTTCCCTGCACTAATGCGCCCCCTCTTGAGCACAATCAGTCATGCTTACTGTATGGGTCTCCACGCTTATCATGCATGCTGTACATATGGCTCACACACACACACACACACACACACACACACACACACACACACACACACACACACACACTCATCTGCAGGCAGGACTAGCTTTATGCAGACAGACAGTCAGAGGCTGTTGAATGTAGAAGAACGAGGCTCCCTGTCCATCTGCCCCTCTCTGAACCGTCCTCACTGAGGACAAGCATGAATAATTAGACTGTATTCATGCACACACACACACACACACACACACACACACACACAATTCAAAACCTTTAAGCTACAACTTTTAATTAACTCTGAAATCACGTACCAAAGCTTCCTATTAAATTATATGAATTACCGAAATTGACATTTACATATAAATGATTGATAACATCGGGGGTTGTGTATTTTTATTTTTTACCGCACTGAAGCTGTATCAATATTTTATGGAGGTGGAGCAGTGAGAATGGATTCTGTGCTTCTAGGGCATAAATAGAATTAGTGTTTTTATTTAATGCATAAAAAAAACCGCACACACACACACACACACATTAAAAAGCGTGAAATTATAACTTAGAGTGCAAAAGGTATTTCTTGATGATTAGTCGTGTTCATTTAATTCTTTTATAGAAAACACAGTAAAAAGGTTTGTTGACACGGCCATTTGAATATTTAAAGGTTGGGGTTTTTTTGCTCGGTCAGAAATAGTTTGAATGAACCAGCGTTGGACGTCGAGCGTTTCTAAATGTTGCGCTCTCGAAAGCAGAGTGAAAAGCCGAGCGCCATTAAGACGGTGAAAGCTAATCCACCATCTGACAAGCGCTGAAGAAGCAAACTGGCAGCGTCAAGGTTTTTTAATTTCCAACTGTTGGATTGTTCGTTTGTTTAATTTTATTTATAGGTTTACTTTCTTTTGAGATTAGTTTTTTTTTTTTGTTATAAATTTCACGACCTTTTCTGACCATCTGAGAAATGGCCGCGAAGACGTCTGGCTCTGGTGAACGGGTGTAATTATTTAATATTTTTTAGAATCACATTCGGGTTAAGGAGATTGAAGCAAACAGAAAAACAAGGAAGGAACGAGGAGCGATGAACCGTCTGTATTTGTGTTTTTTGAGTCTTTGCATTCGAGGTCACATTCACCCACTCACACACACACATTCATACAGCGCTTCTGTATCGCACCGCCACACAACTCGGCACAGCATTCAATCTGGGGTCAGAATCTTGTCCAAGGACACTTCAGACTGCAGACTGGAGGTGTCTGGGATCGAACCACCGGCCCTCCGCTCAGTGGACAACCCTGAGCCACAGCTGCCTGAGAGATAAAGACAGGACACCAGAGTACAAGAGGAATAAGTCAAAAGAACTATACAATAAAATGAAATTTATAAATATATATCAGAATAATGTACAATTAGATGTACATATTGTTCCTCAATGTTGTGTGAGTGAACGTCTCTCATCATGTCCATGAGGGGGACAGTGTCTGTCTCTGACCTTGTTGAGGAGCTGCTGCAGAGGAAAAGTCTGCCAGAGGGTCTCGAACATTTTTTAATTCCAGAAATGGAAGGGGGGGGGGGGTGTGATTGTCTCCTCTCCCATTGCCTGTAGAGTTGTTTTGCTCTTCTGTTTGTCTTCACCTCCTGCGTCATGTTCAACGTCACAGACGTCTCTCACACCACCGTCTGCCAAATTATCACATTCGCCCAGGTGTCTGTGCCGATCTGAGCCGCAGCCGATTACAACCTGTGTCTGCCGCAGAGTGTCGCTCGAATGAGTCCTCGCTCGAATGAGTCCTCGCTGCAGACAAAAGCCAGATGTTTTGACCTGTTGAAAAAAAAGGGGTCTTGTGTCCTGGGTGAGACCCTCCTCTCACACAATGTCAGCTGGGATTGGTTCAGCCCCTTTGTGTCCCTCAGAGGAAAGAGAATGGATGGATGCAGGATGTCTTGACCTGAAGCATGAGAGGAAAGGAGGGAGGACACAGGGACAGAGAGAGCATGAAGAGAAATCTTTATCTTTACTTCTGGCATCTGATAAAATCCTGTGTGATTCTGTGAACGAGCTCTGAGGTTTAATGTGTCAACATATTGCGTGACTCGTGTGAACGTGCGCCTCGGTGACTCCGTCGTCATGAAAAGTTACGAGGACTCATGGTTCCCACTCAGCAGCAGTAATTGGTGCTTTAATAATTAGATGCTGATTGCGTATATTCATCATTATTCCGTTTATCACGGAGAGAGATTCGCTGAGGTGGTTCTGGGGGAAACGTGCGTGAGACCAGAAGCTCTTTGGTTCGGCGCCAGCTGCGCCCAGGATGCATCTGGGTGGAGAAAATGAAACAGCGGCTCTCCGTTCATTACCACCATTGAGATGCCCTTGAGCAAAGCACTTAAACCCCAACTGCTCCAGTGAAGCTGCTCAGTAGCCGGCAGGTAGCACAGTGTGTGAGCGTGTTGAACAGGTTGTTCCTCAAAAAGACTCAGCCACTTGTTCCTGGTTAAATAAAAATAAGCTCACGGGCCGAGGAAGAGAAGAAATAGAATCAATTTGCTTGAAAACGACTGAAGTAATTGTTTAATTTTCTTCATCAACTAATGGTTGCAGCTCCAGAAGAACTGGATCTACTGATGATAACAGTGATTTTAAAAGTAAAACTTGAATTTACTTTTTAAAAGTTCAAGCTGTTGGCACGCAGTACATTTATATACTTCTGCCAACGGCCTTATCTCGCAATGTCAAAGAAGACGATAACAGAATTCATGGATCTGCACCAAAGTGTATTACTGTGATCGGCTGATAAAAACCTTCCCCCCCCCCATGAAACCATGTTTCAGTCTGTTAGATCCACAGATTTATTTTGGATCTGCACCAACTCATAGATATCAGTCCTGTAAACAGATATTGTGACGCCTCCACTCGGATTATTCTCAGATAAAGTGATTAAGGCTCAGTGGTCAAAGGTCACAGTGATTTAAAAACAAACGTGTGCAGAAATATATACACGGAAACTACACCGGCCGACGGAGGCAGTATTTCCAAGATCAGTGAATCATTCTCGGGGAAATCTGTGAAGATAGTTTGACCTGTGTAGTCAACAGAACACTGTAGCTGAACTTGTGAAGTGAGTCCAGGTCGTCTCTGGACCAGGGGCCTGATAACTCTCACTGCAAGAGCTGGTGGATACATTGACGGGAGCAGCTTTACGACCCCCAGACGGCTTTTAAAAGTCTAATCCTCCCCTAACAGGGAAAACCAATTATTTGGATTTCTAAGTAAAAGTGATTTAATCTTCTCCCGTGAATGGAACAAGATGTGGGCTGCGTCCTGGGAATTGTAATTGGGATCATGCAGAGGTAGATGGCAGCAGAGGCATTTTCACTCATGTTTCTCTCTGTGTGTTTTCAGGCGATGGACCTCCGGCCGATCGGACCGTGGTGATTGAAGAGTACAGGTTCTTGTCTCAGAAGCTGTTTGCGGCCGTGTCCGTCTTCGCCGGCCTCGGGATCCTGCTCGGCATCGTCTGTCTCACCTTCAACATCTACAACGGAAACGTCCGGTAACTTCACTAAAGGAGAATAAAAATAGAACTGGGCCCAAACTCAAAAAAGCCTCAAATTTGACGTGCACTCTTTTATTCAGCTGCAATAATCAATCGAGTGCTCGACAGGAAATTAAATATTTTATGACTTGAAGTAAAAATGTCAAATATTTTAGATTTCTTGCTTCAGAGAAATAAGAATGAGCTGTTTTTTATAGTAAGTTTTTTATCTTCTGCTCTGTTGAATAAACTTAAGAACAACATTTGACACAACCAGAAATTTGTAATTGTATTTTTCTGATGTTTTATACATCAAACAATTAACATGCTCAGATTAATCAGCAGTTAATTGTAGCTCTAATATTCATTACTAACATATTTTAACCTGACTTCTTCTCTCTGCATCTCTGTCTGTAACCGTAACCCTTGAGGCTTTAGTGGAATCATTTTGAAAGTAAAGAGGAAGGTCAGTTTTTAAAGTTTTCAACATAACGATAATAGAATGAGGTCGTTCTGTGTGGAGTTTGTCCGAAGACACGTAGGTTAGGTTCACTGGAGACTCTACATTTCCAGTAGGAGTGAGTGGTGTTGTGTCTTTGTGTGTCTTTGTGTGTCTTTGTGTGTCTTTGTGTGTTGGGTGTGCTCCGCCTCCTGGAATTGGCTCCATCCAGCCAACGACCCACGAAGCGGTATAGAGATCATGATGGATGTGAGACGTTCACGTTTAATGCAGTGACGAAGCTAAACGCTGCTTCTACCAGTTTAGTTTTACTTCCTGTCTGTAACGGAGCAGCTGGTTTCATTGTCACTGCCCGAGAATATAAATCCCCCCTCTAAATTTGTGTCTTTTGATTTTCCAGCGTAATGCATGTCTGTGAACCGAGCGCAGCGTATCTCTGATGTCTTCTTCACGTCGTAGCTTCGTGTTTGACCTGGTGAAATAAACGAGCTTATCATTTTGTGCAGAAAGCTGGAGAGGTGCGTTCCTCTGTGGATCTCAGACCTCCTCCGGCTCTGATTGTATTTCAAACACAATTGCGCCGAGGGCTCCTCTCAGCAGCTGGAACACAGAGTCGGTTCAAATCTAATCACATTTATTCATCCGGCTATTTCTCCTTCAAAACAAGTTTGCTAGCAGCTGCCTCGTTATGAGCTCAATGCACAAACATGCAGCTCGCTGACGCTCTAAATATCGGCTGTTGTTTTAGTCTTGTTGCAGAATGAAACGTTGAATTTTGGTCCCTCGTGTTTCAGAAAACGTTTTCCTGACGAGTGAATGTTCTCAAGCACCAGTGTCAAGTCGTCCATTGTTTGATTGACGGCTCGTGCCGTTCAACGGGTGCAGGTCTCAGGTTTAGGTGGGCGTGTTTAAAAAAGACAGGATGGTGCTGGTTAAAACCTTCGGCCCCGATTCGACATGTGAAGTCAGCGTGGGTTCGTCTCTTGTTCCAGAGCTGGAGGATGACAGAAACCCTCCTACATCAGTTTGATTGACAGGTTTCACATCAGCCCAAACATCAGATTTTGTTCCGATATTGAGATTGTGGCCTTTTTTTGCTTTTATTTTATAGAGACAGGTCACATCGCGAGAGAGCGAGTCGGAAACTGTAGAAGGAGGAAAAAGGATAAATTGTAGAAAGAAGCAGAAACAAAAGCTCCCGCAGCAGAACGAACGTCACACGTTCAGGGCGTGCAGCGACGTTTAAGATTTTTCAGAGGTCGAAGTGGAGCAGTGTGCACGTATGTATACGCTCATGCGTGTTTGTTTGCATATTGTGTGTCGGCTGTGCAGTAAATAAGTAATGTGGCCTCAGGGCAACACGAGGGCACGTCAACGGGATGAAACCAGCCAACACACACCTCCTCCTGCAGCCGGAGGAGCCGAGCTCTCCGTGCCAGGTTGTTGTGGCTCGGTGCAGATTAAACCAAACAAATGAAGCTGAACCCTGAAGAATTTAGATTTTGTGTTTATAAACCACGTAACCAGGCCATTGTTTCGTATCTTTTTTTTAGCAGCACGTTGCTTATATGAACAATCAGTGCAAGGACCAAAATCACATCTGAGAAATTATGTGTTTTTTTATATAAAAACCACAAATATGCTCAACAAGGCATTTTGAAAGTAGAAAATTTAAATACAGGTGGAACGCGTGGAGATATAAATGTAAAACTGACTTACGCAATAATAAGCTATTAGAAATAGAAAAGCAACTATTTACCAGATTGAGTTTTTAATCTCACCTGGTACCTCGGTGTTATACAGTTTAACACCTGCAGGTTCGATTCCGACCCGTCCCTCTGCTGCTTGACCTCTAAAAAACACAAATATAACAAGAAATATAGAATTTGAATTAAGAAAAAAACATTTTACAGGTGTTTTGTATGTTTTATATTTTAATTTGTTGATCAGATTATATGAACGCAGATACCAATATGTCTTTTAAGTTTTTGCTGTCCAGGATACTTTAGGTAATAAAGACGAATTCAGGACATTTACAACATTTAGCTGACGCTTTGATCCAAAGCGACTTGGAATGAGTGCATTCATCATCTCTGAGCAGCCATTCAGGGTTCAGCAACTTGCCCAAGGTCACTTCAGCGCGGGCTGGGATTCAAGCCAGCAACCCTCTGGTTTGGGGGACGCCTGCTCTCCCCCTCGGCCTGTGTCAACAATGATTACGTTAATGACGAAGACAGCGGCGTCCGTGTTCTGCATCAGAGTTAGAAAATACGGCCGAACCGTCTGAACCAGTGAATCTAAAACCAGCGACCGACGAGGTTTCTCAGACGCCAACAAGCAGAAAAGTGTTTTTCTAACCGTTTGTCTTTTTGTCTCGTTGTGTTTCAGTTACATCCAGAACTCTCAGCCCTACCTCAACAACATGACAGCGGTGGGCTGCATGATGGCGCTGGCCGCAGTCTTCCCTCTGGGCATCGACGGCCACCACGTCCACAGATCCCAGTTCCCCGTCGTCTGCCAGGTAACCGGAGGAACGCGTTTCATGCCGATGCTCAAGCAGCAGCTTTTAAAAAAAAAAAGTCTGGATTGAAATCAAAAAGTCGACTTTTCTGTCTTGAGGCGTTTGAGTTCTCGCTCGCTGTGAATCTTCCAGATCTTTTGCCGCTGCTACATTTGATGGACATTTCACTTCCAGGCTGGCGGGAACATTTCTGGAAAACGTCTGGAGCAACTGAGTCGGACGTTTGCGTCCCTGAAAAAGTTCAGTGCACGTCTCCGCTGTTCTCCTTTTCGTTAAAACATTTATTTAGTTTCCCTTTGAACGGAGAGCGTGACGTCCTCCTGTCCAAAAGTTTAGCATTCACGTCATCAGAACATCATGTCCACGTCTCTCAAGTGAAAAAACATTGACTCGGTGTTGGATTTGCGTTGCTGCCGGAACCTTGCAGTTATTTTTTTTTTTTTACGCTTCGCGGCTGCAGCTGTCTCTTTCACTAACGTCCTCCCTGCTGTGACATCGTGTCCCCACTTTGAGCAAACACACATCTGGGAGTTGTGACGCTCCGCAGAGCTGCGATGTGGCCCCTGGCAGGAGGACGCGGGCAAATCAAGTCCGCGGCCGTTTTAAGGACTTTGATCACGCACACTTAGTGGATGATCAAAGTTTAAACACCGACATGATTCATCGAGCGCGTGGACGTGTTTCGGAGTTTTGTGCCGTGGGTTTTCCGGGTGCTGCGGTAGCAGAGGAAGGGAACCTGACAGTAATGAGGAGTGGGAGTGCTTCTCTGTCAGCCATGTTGAATCTCTGTGTTGTGGAGGCGATGGGGAGATTTCCATTTCTGTCGTTTCTCTGCTCTTTGTCCCTGTCCACTTATTCTCTCTCAGGCTTTGTTCTGTCTCTCGCTCTATCCTGGATATTTTTCATTATTCTCTCCATCTCCTCAAACTTATCAAAACTCATCTCCAAGCTAGGCCTGCTCTCCCTCTCTCCCTCTCTCTCTCTCTATCTCTCTATCAATCAGTCCATCTATTGCTTCCTCTTCTCACCTCTTATGTCTTCTCCTCTTTTCTGTCACTTCTCTATATTCGTCTCTTCATACCCGTCTTTTGTCCCCTCTTTTTCTTAGTTTTTTCCTGCCTTCCTTTCTTTTTCATCTCAAACCTTTCAATTTTTTTGTTCTCATGTCCACCTCTCAGACCCTGTCCTCTTTTTCACATACTGTCTCCTCTCCTCTTCCTCTCATCCTCCTCCTCTCCTCCCCCTCCTCCTCCTCCTCCTCCTCCTCCTCCTCCTCGTGTGACTAAGACAGAAATGGACGCAGCATGTTTCTATTTCTCTGCCTCAATGAAACTCTTAGGTTTTTCCCCGTGTCTCTTATTCTCCACTGGAGGAAACATTTTATATCAATAAAAACTTTCCCTCGAGCTCAAATCAATAACTGTAATTAGCTGCAAGTGATACATGGTTCGTGGGTGTTTGTGCCCTGGGTTTCGCTTCTCAGGCTGCGTGTTGGTGGAGGTTGTCAAAATGAAAAAGTACTCCCAACTCCTCTGTATGGTTTCTGGATAAAGTAAAAAAATCATGTAATGTGTATTTTTTTTTTTTTTT